CTTTCGTATAATTTAGATTTTTCTTATTGGATACTTAATGTTCTAATAAACTCTATTCTTGAGTCCACTTTTGATTAATATACTCGTTTGATATGTATTTCTTTTGTCTTTGCTTAATTTCTTTTACATAGAATAGTAGGATGAATTTCTATTCTGGCTATCTTTCATATTCTCTTGATTCATCGTCTTTTAAACTGGAAAAATGTCTAGAGAGTTTTGCCGAAGTCCTAGTAAGTACGTATTTTATCGTATTCTAACTTCTATTAGCGACTCTTACATGACATTTTAAATAAATTATCGAAAATTAACCGAACAAAATAGATACCGAAGAGAAACTAAGGTGATCGAGACAGTTTCAATAAGTATAATTTTGGTTATATAAAATTGAATAACCGAAAAATTGGTATAGTATAAATTTTATAAAATAATAGGCCGGACCAAACCATTAACACCCCTAGTTATAATTAAGTACTCTACGTGTTTGAATATGTTCTCCTAGTTTGACTCAACACGAATTTTAAGAAAGAAAAAAAATATATATATAGTCATAAATATTTGTGTGACCGTGCGACTTTTGGAACTTGCAGGGTAAAATATTTCATAATATTGTATGTTATTACAAAAACTTTTCATTAAGTGTAGAAAAATATGACGTTAAAGTTAAATTATTTTTAAATTAAGAAAGAGATTATTATTTTTTAAATGCACTAATAAGAAAATAATGCCAAACAAAATGAAATGATTGGAGTACTTTTTATCTCTTCTATGATGGGATTTACAAACCCATGTGAATAAAATCTAAATGTGAACCCAAACTCATTGTAGCCAATCAAATCTAGCATAACAATATTTGGTTGGTAAATATTTTTAAAGATGAAGAAAAATAAAACTGTCGTATCTGAATTCTCTTATACTTGCGATGTTATCAGTGTTATAAAAAAGAGACCGTTTTTCATCCCTATAAATAGGGGCTTCTTCTTCATTTGTGCAACTTGAGTGCTTATTATATCTCAATCCATTATATAGTTGTATTGTTTTGTTCCTCTAGGATCATGATTTTTCTCATAGTTTATAAGTGCATCACGTAAAAATATCGGTGTCATTATTTCTCCATTTTATCCCCAAAGTTTGACAGTGAATATTTTTGTGTGGGTATTCTGCTAACCCCAACAACTAATATCAGAGCATAAACACTATATTATGATAGAAAAGACTGTATTAGTGCAGTTACTTTTGGTAGTTACTATTCATAGTCATAATTCATAATTATTATACACGGTCATTATTCACATAATTGTTTTATGAAGAAAAAATAATGTAAGAAGAATGGAAGGTTAAGATTGACAAGCTTAATGGCAAAGATTTTGAATTCTAAAAAATGCAGATAGAGGATTATATGTATTAGAAAGGTTATAATTACCAACGACCAAGATAAAACCAGAGAATACAGCCAAAGCAAATGGATCTATTAAATTGTCAAGCTCTATGATTCGTTTGATGCTGACACGAAATATGGTATTTAATATTATTAACGAGAAGACCATCGCAAGCCTAATAAAAGTTTTATCAAATATGTACAATAAGCCATATGCTTTAAATAGAGTTTATTTGATATGGATATGTCGATTGTTCAAATTGAAGATGGCTGAAGGTAAGTTTAATGTAATTTTAACTCGGTTGAGTTCTGTTAATTAACATAGCATTTGATTATGAAGTCAGGGAGGTAGATAACATATCAATGAGTTTAACGTAATCTTAACTCGATTAAGTTCTCTGAATTAACATAGCATTCATTGACGAAGTCAGGGGCTGATACAACTATCATGTTCACCGATCAGTTAGTTTGCAACAGCAAATATAGTTAGCAGTTCATCGGGATATATCAAATTCAAGTTAGAAAAAGTTATTTGATTCTGAGAAAAGATATTCGCCAAAGAGAATCAAGTGATTCCCGATTTTCTTTGAGAAGCGAGGAGAGAAAGAAGCAGTCAAAGAAGACAAAGCATGTTTGTGGAAGATAAAAGTCAAGAAGAAAAGAGAAATCTAGGAATCAAAAAGACATAACTTATTGAAATTGTGATAAAAAACACCACTACAGCAGTCAGTGTAGAGAACCAAAAAGGAAAAGGAACGATCAACTCAAGGATGATAAGTCAGCAAATGTAATTACTGAACAGATTGGTGATGCGCTAATTTGATGTGCAAATAGTCTCATCGAATCTTGAATTCTAGACTCAGGTGCCTCTTTTCACTCTACCACATGCAAAGAATTATTGCTCAACTATATTACTGAAAAATTCAAGAAGGTTTATCTAGAAGATGGTGAACCTTTTTTTGGATATTGTGGTGGAAGGTGAAGTTCATGAAAAAACTACACAAGGAACGCTATGAAAACTGCAACATATCCAACATATTTCTAGCCTCAAGAAAAATTTTGATATACATAAGGCAGATTGACAATGAAGGATATAAAATATTATTTGATAATGGATTCGTGGAAGATAACCAAATGAAATTCAGCTGTGAGATGAGGGATCCAAGAAATGAATATCATATGCAACTAGAATACAAAGAGATACTATAGCAACGATTGACCATTATCGTGACTCAACATTGTGGCATAGGAGACTCAGGCACACATGAGTGAGAAGGAAATAAAGCTACTAGTATCCAAAGAAAAATTATCAATTCTCAAGCATGTTGAATTAGGTTTTTATGAAGATTGTGTGAAACAAAAGAGAGTTAATTTTTCAAAGGCAGTAAGGACACCAAAAAAAGAAAAGCTAAAACTAGTACATATGACCGTATGGGGACCAACTTTTGTATCTTCTATTGGAGGTTCACACTATTATGTTACCTTCATTGATAATTTTATGGAAAGGTATATAGTTTATTTTCTAAAAAATAAATTTGATATGTTTGTTATCGTTAAAATGTGGGAAGTTGAAGTTGAAAATCATATGAGCCTGAAGATAAAATGTCCATAGTCTGACAATGAGGAGAGCATAATAGTCAAGAGTTCAAAGTAGTTTGCTCTGAGAATAGGATCAGAATGATTAAGATAGTTCATAGAACACTATACCAAAATGGTGTAGCTGAGAGGATGCAGAATCCGGAATAAACAAGCCAAAAGTATGAGAATACATTCTAGATTGCTGAAATATTTTTAAGCTAAAGTTGTTCACATGGAATCTTACTTTCTAAATAAGGGACCCTCAAAACTACTACATTTTGACATTCCTAAGGAGGTATAGAACTATAGATAGGAAAGCAGCTAAATCCTCAAATCTGAAAATCTTTAGTTGTGTTGCTTATGTACGTGTAAATTCTAATGACAGAAATAAGATTGATTCCAAGCCAAAAAATATTTTTTTATTAGCTATGATGATGATAATTTGGTTATTGATTTTGGAATGATCAGAACAGAAAGATCATAAGATACAGGGACGTCACCTTCAATGAAAATATGATATACAAAGATAGATTTGGAGTTGAACCAGCTAGCACCAGTAGATAAACATTTGAAATAGTTGAATTGAAAAAAATCTCCAAAAATAAAGTAGCTAGATGGAGTGACACTGATTCTAAAATTGGAGATGCAGAACCAAAAGCCCAATCTCGGACCAGAACCAGAACCAGAATCAGATTTGGAGCCAAAATTAAAACTAAATTCGGGATCTATTACTTTTGAGCCTATATTAAGGAGATCTCAAAGAATTTTAATGCACTAGGTAGGTACACTGCCTCTCCATTAATTACTTATGACTGATGCTGGAGAACCATCATTTTGATGAACAATGTAATAGATAAACTTTGATAAGTGGAAGATGGCCATGAAATAAAAGATAAATAATCTTTAAAAGAATAAAACAAGAATACTCATGGAGTTACCAAATGGAAAGAAGGTGTTGCAGAATAAATGGATGTACATGGTCAAAGAAGAGCATAGTGTTAAATTAATACTACTAAAAACGTATTTTTTTCGTCCAAAACAATCGACCGAAAAACTAATCGGTCGTACCAACCAAAATATGGGCCATAGTCGGTCGCATTTTTTAAAATAATTTTTTCCCCATTTTTTAAAATAAAATCGATCGAATTTGATCATTATTTTGTGTCAAAATGCGGGAAATTATTTGTTCCAGCCGATTCGGTCAGTAATGCATACAGAAAAATTTCTTATTCAAGAAATCGACCATGATTTTTATTTAAAATAAATTAAAATTAATATTTTTAATATTATCGCCGGTCGATAATTGTTTTTTTAATATTATCGCCGGTCGATTATTTTCACGTAAAAATATAATTAAGGAGTATAAATAAAAAAATATATATAAGTCATAAACCAACAAGCACCAATGCCTTAATGGAAGAATAGTATCCTGCCATAGTATTGACTACGGAATGATCCTCACATGGTGCATTTTTTAATTACATAATTTAAAAAATCAACATACTTCAGTTGGTATTTTCGATCGATTTTTATTTTTTTTGGTCCGAGTATGAAATTCAGTTGACCGACCAAAATTGATCGATTTTACTGACCGAAGTAAGTCGGTTTTTGATAACAGTAATTTTTTGACTCGTTCGATTCGGTCGGTAATCGTTCAAAGCCGACCGAATCGGTCCATTTTTTCAGACGGAAAAGTACAATTTGTTTAGTAGTGTAACTACTATCAAGTTGATGCTAAATATCATAGCTGCAGAAAATTTACATTTGGAGCATCTAGATGTTAATATTGTATTCTTGCATGTTGACCTTGAGAAAGATATCTACATGAAGTAATCCGAAGGTTTTCGAGTTCATGATAAACAAAATCTTGTGTGCAAGTTAAAAAAAGCGTGTTAAGTTTGGAATAAGTTCCCCAACAGTGGTATAAGAAATTTGATGGATTCATATACAATAATGAGATCATGAGACGTGAGATGAACCATTGTTGTTCTATCAAAAACCTTGATGAATCTTATATCATTTTATTGTTATGGTATACAAATTGCAGGCTTTAGCATAGATGATATCAACTAGAGTTAAGCAACAGTTGGTGGATGAGATTGAAATAAAAGACTTAGGACCAGATAAGCAAATACTTGGGATGAGAATTTGCAGAAACATGTGTCTATCTCAAGAAAAATACATACACAAGGTACTAGATATGTTTAGTCTTCATAATACAAGGACCAGAAATACTCTATTAGGAAGCCGCCTTACTATGTTGAAGAACCAATCACTAAAGAAAGGAAGTACGTTCCCAAAGTTCCATATGCTTCACCAATAGAAAGTTTGATGTATATAACTATTTTCAAATGTGCAAAAAAATAAAAAGATCATGTCTAAATTCTCTTATACTTGATATTATCAATGGCATCAAGAAGAGATTCTTCATCCGCTTCACAGAAGAAAAAAAAACACATATGTGAGAGAAACATCGAGTGTTTGAGCAGTTATACATATAGTGAGGATATTTTTAAAGAGAGTTTTTTCTTTTGAGTGCGTTAACCTAAAATATATTATACAAGTCGTGATTATTGTATCTCAACTCATTATAGTGATATTGTTTTGCTCCTCTCGGGTCGTGTTTTTTAGTTTATAAGGGTTTCCACCGATTTCATTGTTCTTCCTTCTATACTCAAAGTTTGACGGTGAATATTTCTGTGTGGATATTCGCTGATCCCAACACTGTAATTAGATCTGTAATGTAGACATCATGAATGATGATCATAGTGGCCTCAAAGATTCAATTACGTTGAGAGGCAACCAATTAAAACATGGGTTTTAATGACACATTCGAATAGAATTACAAAATTCATAACACTTTCCTTTTCTCTTTATTTATCTCTCCTTGAGTATTTAGTTGAGACCCTAGTTTCAGATATCAAACTCGCTTTTACGTGGTGTATTAATTAAGGCCATAGGATGAATTGGACTAGAGGTGTCACTTTCTCTAGACATTAAGGATGTTTTGGTTAATTAAGTACAACATTTTAGGGATTTAGTTAAACTTATGAGTATCCGTTAAGGATGTTATGAGTTAAAAACTCATGTAGCTTCTTAGTTAGGGTATTAGAAGTAGTTGATTGAAGGAAGAATTAGCTTAGTTGAGATAGTAGTTGTTTTCGCATGTAAATGATAGCTGGAAACTATGAGGATAAGTTAGTTGAAGGAGGAGGAGAAAAAGAGACCTGGCCTATGGTAGAAGTTTTCAACCATGCTTATATATCATCTATGCACCAATCTGTGGGAATGAGGAAATAGCAACTTGCCTGGACATAATCGCTCGCGGGAGGAGATGCAGATGGTCTTGCAGCTATTTTGGCCATGGCAATGAAACGAACAAGTACAAGGATTCTAAGCCAAGACTGTCTTGAATTTTTAACTTCATCATCTTCTGCAATGATCAATTCACTTCATCAACAACTTATCAAGTAGTGACGATCAAATTTTTATAGATATTTAGTGAGACATTTTAGCACACATACAAAATTTAAACAAAAACTATTGATTCTCGTGAACCCATAGCTTGTATTCTAGATCCACCACTGGTCGTTTGCCATAGCTTGTGTCCTAAACTTGCACTGTTTCTTGATTTACTTGTCACTGAAGTGCTTCCTATATAACAACTTTAATTAATTATGTTATGTTACGTTATTTTTCTTCCTCAGCATGCATGCACTTAATAGTCAGCCGCTTTTTGTAATATTCTAACCCTACCTAAACTCGTATTATCATCAGTAAATGCTTCTGATCGTCTTTTCTTTTTAAGATATGCGGCTACATATAGAAATACCAATCATAAAATCAAGGACATGTTCTACATGGTGAAAGCAGAGGCTGATATAGCTCTACAATTACATAAATATATGTGTACAAAATTTATAACAATTAGTAGATCAATGAACCCGTAATAATAAATAGTATATAAAATAGTTTAATACTAAGAACATTAAAAATTAAACCCATAAAGCTTAAATATTACATCTACTCTATGTGGAAGCCCAACTAGGGCTCGTTGTTTCCTAGAAAAATAACAGAAGATGTTGTGAACATGGATAAGTTAGATAATGCTTATGGGCCAATTATTTGGACAAAGGTTGGCCAAGCTATTGGGCCCGGGGCTAAACCGCGATATGGCCAAAGAATTAAACAGCCCAACTGTACATTTACTTGGGATCCAGGTTGAGTAGAAAAGTACGTGACAAAGAGAATAAAAGGGTGTCATCGGCAGTTTTGGAAAGGAGGCGAATTATGCCAACTGCTTAGGCAAAGTCTATGTTTTCTCACTTCCAATTATCTCTATACTCTACTATGTTTGTTCTTAGCAATTTCCTTTCAGTGTTTAGTTTACCTTTGTAATTCCAATTTTTATCATAGTGAAATATACTCTTTAATCTGTTGGGCGTGGAATTGTATATGTTTAGTGTTGGGTTCGTTACATTGGTGCTTTCATCCATCGGACTCCAACATCGGAAGTGTTTCTGCCTAGATTCAGTGGCGACAGCAACCCAGAGCGCTGGAATTTTTTAGCCGAGTTATACTTCACATACCTTGGCTTCTCCGAGAAGGATTGGCTGCCTCTTCCTTCCTTCTATCTAGAAGGCGATGCCCTCACATGGTTCGATTGGTTATTTCGCAACAACCAATTCTATGATTGGAATCATTTTAAGGAGAAGTTTCTTCTGCATTTTCATAAACAGACCTTTACTGATCTGCTATGTATTTCAAATTTGTATGGGCTTGAATCTACTTTTGAACCAGCCAACAAGACAGAGCAAGCATTTGATGTACTCTCTACTAGAGTTTCCCCTAATACAATTGCTGATAGTTCTTCGGTTACAACAATGGATTCCAAAATTCATCCTCCTTCCTTATTAGATTCATTGACAAACCTTCAAATCCCTGAAATACATGATCCCACCTCTAGTTTACCTGGTGGAAACAAGTGCGCACCAGCGGAAGACACAGTGCTCGATGAAATTCTTAGAGCGATGAACCTAATTTGCCTTTCCATTTTGCAAGCGATGAAGCACTCCTCGTTTCTCTTGTCGGACGAGATTGTCTCATGCCTAAAAAAGTAAAAAGATTGAACAATCTGCTTTTACAAAAATTTTGTCTATAAACTATGCGGGATTTTTCGAGGCAACTGAGATAAACTTTGATTCAAATACTAGCAAATCAGAGGAGGACCAGCAAGTCTACGCGATGGTGGAGAAAAATTCAAGCAACGCTGTAGTTCAGTTATTTGACAAATTTGCTCATAGGAAAGGAACTGATTTTTTGGATGATATACCATCGTGGATATCCATTGAAGAAACTGCTGACATTTTAGAAAGTGACGCGGATAAAATGTTTGATAAAATTATTCAGAGAAAAGAAAATGGTACGACACTTATGAGGGAGGTTGTTAGCCACACCAATCAGGTGCTCTCTCAACAAACCAGTATGACTGGTCTAGTGAGTGTTATATCTAATGCAAAAATTCAAATTCTTGTCATTGAATTTGATATGGGATATGGTTTCTAGAATCAATTACTTACTGAACATCCTAAAATACTTTGCCTTCGACATGATGCATTTGACTTACATTTTCTGTTTGATCCTGGCTCTGGTGCTATTCTTTTAATCAGTGCGAAGTCACCTCAGGGGAGGTTAGAGGACCTTTTTACACCCTCAAATCCAAGTAGGCAACATTTGACAAAACAAAAGGGAGTTTTTAAATATATGTTGTGATTCCAACATGATATCATTGTCCATATAGCTAATTTGTTTGACATTGGGTAGCGACCTAAGGGTAATAAGTTCTCTCTAGCTTTCTTTGTGATTATTCCGATTGATAAGTGTGTGTATGTCAAAGTTAGTTGGTTGGATATTGGGAGAGAGATATTCGATGACATGATTGACGAGAACATACTCACTGTGCTCGAGTCTTTTGTACCACCAACTACTGTCTATAGTAGTTTTCATGTGATACTTCTTGGATCTGTTAAGTCTGTCCAGTCTAATAAGCTAGCGCTTGCACTTATTCATGATGTTGTGAATCCCTCAACTAGAAGGGGAGCTATCAAACGCTTGTATTTTGCTTATGTTAATGCTTCAAATGAGCAGATCTGTAGTGACGCCACTCTTACGTTTGGAGATGATGTGATTCTTGTTGTATTTGTGTCCAGTGCTAGAATTTTTGAACTGATTTGTGGTTCCTCCTACGATGGAAAGTCAGCCCAACATATTATAATTGCTTGGATACACCATAATGGGTTAAAGTTTGAAAAGCCCCTTGATTGTTTACTGCCTTTTGACCTTGGGAACCCATATTTTGGCTAGCAGGGTAGAGCCAAATTTACACCTAAGGCTCCAAAGATCATCACAACCACTTCGAATATGCTACAAGGACGCAATCTAAAAAAATGGATGACTTTGGCATTAGGACCCCAGGTCAGTAACAAGATTGTGTTAGTAAAAGAATGCAATATACTCCTTTGTTTTGTCTCACAGGTAGTTTATATTGGAGATCAGCATGTTATTGGAGTAGGTACACATTTATTCATGCCTCAAGATTTAACTGGTACACTAATAAAGAAAGTGAAAGTAGAGATGATTGTGGAACTCACTTGTAGAATAATAACTATTTTGCTATCCATTTCAGTGTTTTTGTGGCTTATGAAGTATTCAAAGGAAACACAATATATATATCTCATCATGCCCTTGTCCAAAATGAAGTCCACTATGCAGTCACTCTTGTTGTGCCAGACATGAATAGAGCTTGGTATGGTGCTCTTAATTTTGCTCAAGAGGAATTGGCATGTGATTTCCATCCAGTGCACTTCAAGCTTATTGAAGTCCACGTAACTACAACTAGTTTACCAAAACCCGTGAGTCTGAGATTTCTTAACTCGAACCTTGAGGACAAGGTTCTTATTGAGGATAGGAGTATTGTTGTGAACATGGATAAGTTAGATAATGCTTATGGGGCAATTATTCGGACAAAGGGTGGCCAAGCTATTGGGCCTGGGGCTAAACCGCGATATCGCCAAGGAATTAAACAGCCCAACTGTACATTTACTTGGGATCCAGGTTGAGTAGGGAAGTACGTGACAAAGAGAATAAAAGGGTGTCATCGGCAGTTTTGAAAAGGAGGCGAATTATGTCAACTGCTTAGGCAAAGTCTATGTTTTCCTATCCCCAATTCTCTCTATACTCCTCATCCCCAATTCTCTCTATACTCCTCATCCCCTTCTACTATGTTTGTTCTTAGCAATTTCCTTTCAGTGTTTAGTTTACCTTTGTAATTTCAGTTTTTATCATAGTGAAATACACTCTTTAATCTGTTGGGCGTGGAATTGTGTGTGTTTAGTGTTGGGTTCGTTACAGAAGAAATTCAGGAAGGGTCCTCACGTATCCTTCGCATTTCGCCCTCCTTGTTTTCCTTTTAAAAATAAAAAGGAGACACTCATTTTATCTTTATAAAATTTCGTAGATCTTCACTTAGTTTTCATTTTGAACTTTGAAAAATACCCTCTGATTTTTACTTTTTACTCCCCCATGTTTCTATCAAATCATTACTAGAAATTCGACAAAAACCGACCAAGGTCGACCGACCAACTTTGGTCGGTCAAAGAATCGACCAAAGTTGGTCGTTTCAAATTATTATTATTATTATTTTTTTTTTTTACGAAACCGACCAACTTTGGTCGGTTTTTTTTTTGGCGCAAAAATGCGGGAAACTATTTTTGAGTGCCGCGAAATTTATTTTTCGAGAAACCGACCAACTTTGGTCTGTTTTCAATTACAATAAATAAAAATTAATATTAAAAAAACCGACCAAAATTGGTCGGTTAATTCGGCCGGTCATTTTAAAAAATCGACCAACTTTGGTCGGTAACTTTATTTTTTAATAAAACCGACCAACTTTGGTCGGTTATTTTCGTGCGAAAATATAATTAAAGAGTATAAATCAAATAAAAGACAGTCTTAAAACAAAATGCACCAATGGTCTAGTGGTAGAATAGTATCCTACCACANCCAATAGTCTAGTGGTAGAATAGTATCCTGCCACAGTACAGACCCCGGTTCGATTCCCAGATGNCGTTTCGATTCCCAGATGGTGAATTTTTTGATTACATAATTAAAATACCAACCAACTTTAGTCGTTTTTTTTTTTGCAATATTTATTTGTTTGAATTTAATTGACCGACCAAAGTTGGTCGGTAATTTTCGACCAACTTTGGTCGTGATGCCTTTCCGACCTCTAAAATACCTTCCACACGTAAATGGTCGCGTTTTGAACGGTTATTGGCCATTACCGACCAAAGTTGGTTAGTTTTTACCTGATTTCTAGTAGTGAATGGTTATCCTTAAATTGAAAAATGGAAGGGTTTCCGATCTTTTATACCCTCTATATTTATATGAAGGATGATACGTACTTTTATGGTTTAACAATATCCAATTTCCTTGCAGACTTTTTTTTTCTGAAAAAATAAACAATAAAGAAAATGAAAAAGTGAAAGTTTCACGTAAACTAGCCTTAATGAGAAGTTAAAATAGTATTATGCATACGTAAAAAATTCACTTTTAAAAAAATGAAATCACATTTTTCCAGAAAAATTTCACTTTTTTTTTTTGGAATCAGTGTTTGCCATAAAAATTTCACATTTGAAACTGAATTTCGAAATTTTTCGAAAATTTGAAAAACTCCTTGTAAAAATTCAAAAACAATTCTAAATTGTATTCATGTCCAAACACAACTTTAATTTTCAAATAATATTTTCACTTAAATTTTATTTTTTCCCGAAATTTCACAATTCTTTTGTCCAAACGCCCACTCAATGAAGTATGAAGAATGAAAGAAATGAAGGCGCTTTCTTTTGAAGAAAAGAGCTATGTTTGATATGGCTGACAAGTCAAAATTGATGTGCTCTCTTAACTAAAATTATGTTTCAAGATTTTCTATTGAGAAAATAGTATGCATTTAAGCTTATATGTATTGACAGTGTAATATTTTTTTATACTATTAGTGAATTTTACACGTGATCGATAGAAGGTTAGTTATTATTATTTTTTTGCATATTATCATTCATCAGTTTAATATTTATAATAAATTTACCTGTAAATACCCAATATATAACATGATTGTATAAATATTTTTCATTTGGATATAGAAATAATCTCTACTTTTTATTCGGGTGATACGTTCTTCCCTAAAAAGAGAATGGTTTTTTCACATTTGTAAGATGGGACAACCCGTTTTAACCTAATCCATTAATCACCCAATATTTTTGACTTGCAAAATTATGTACGGTTTATATCGTGACCATTTTTCTTGATTTGTTTAAACCCTCCCCCACCCCATCCAAAAAAAAAAAAACCCGATCCAGTAACTTATTTGCCACTGTAAAAATAGTATCAGTGGCCATCTTTCGATTTTATAATTGAAAAATAGTTATTATCCTATAGTTTCAAATAATATTTGGCAAGTGAAACTCAGGAATTTGCAATTACTCGGTATATGTAATGAAATGCTATATTAATTATCGTATTTCAAGAAAATTTTCGACCAGCTTGTTGTTCTCACCTACTTCATGGTTAACAAGATGAGGCCTGGTGTTCAGTTCTTGAAGCTCCATGCCATTTTGATCAATATGTGGAGCTGGATTTGCGTCGAAAATCAAATCACTGGGACTGGCGTCTATAGTGTCCTGTTCATACAAGAGAATCAATAACGAGGAAAAAACTGACAAGAGGGTTTAGTACGTTAGATACTTGACTTCTACTCGGTAGGTCAAAAAGTAGTTTCAGTCTTACAGGCCAGGGCGGATCCGGCAGATTAAAATATGAGCAAGAACTGTAGATCTGTACGTAGTACAAACGATCCGGCAGATTAAAATTGCCAGAGAAAATGACACGCGCGAGTATGAGTTATAATAGCATAGATTACCTCCGACGACTGAGTTCGTCCGGCGGCAAGTAGTATTCCGGTTGCATGGATAAACAAACGCCACTTTAGCCGCCATTTTGATGTCGGAATTGCAGAAACGTCGCCGCCCATCAACAGCCTTACGTCGCAGTTGGAGCTTTCCATATCTTTCCTTATCCTTCAACATGTAATCGAATCGGAATTGGTAAGCTATGCTATATATAATGGTCATGAATTACATTAGACATCCCTGTAATATGTGTGTCTGCACCAAAAAAATATATACTCCTATGTATGTGCGTCTACATTACGCTAACACAAAACGCGTTAGTCTTATCGTTTTCTTGCTATGGCGCCTCTGCCCTCTTTTGCCACTTCAACCGTCTTTCATCATCCTCCCAGCGTCATTCTAAACAACATGTGTTGCTAATAATTTTTTTTTTTTTTTTTTTTTTTTTTTTTTTTTTTTTTTTTTTTTTTTTTTTTTTTTTTTTTTTGTGTGTGTGTGTGTTTGCTAATGTTTTATTAACCTATCTATGCTATTTTATGTAATATTTTACTTTACTATTACTTTACTACACTACATAAAGTGGAGGTTTAACTGCCTCCGGTTAAAAAGAGCTTTTCACTCTACACAAAAATTATCTTATTACTACGGTTATTTTTGGGTTCTAAACCGCCATAATCTGTATTTACGGCGGCTTTGGAAAATGTATTACGACGGTTTTACCACCGCCGTAATCAGGGGCGGATCTATCTTATAAGGTAGGGGAGTCACGTCACCCGCTCACTTTGCTAAAATTCTTACTATATACATAATATCTCTGTGAAGAAACGTATATATGGATAGAGTGGCACCCATTAATGCAAGTTCGATTCCCTGTTGGAGCAGCTCCTTTGATTTTTCTTTTTTTCTACTTATTAAGATTTCTTTTATTTTTCAGTTGAGCCCTAGGGCCTCACCTCTTTTCCTTCTTTTTCGGTTCTTTCCCTCCTTTTCTTTCTTTTATTACTTGCTAAGTCTATCTTCTTCATTTTTTTAACTTTCACTCCTCATTTTATTTCTATTATTATACCTTACTTTATGAACAATTATTTTCTATAGGTAATTTAAATTGATTTTAATTAGCATATAATTTCTTTATTTTTAATGAAACGATATTAATTTATATATTGGAATATAATTTGGGCAATATCTTCTATTGGGTTTTGAAAATAAATTAAATGGCTTGATTGATAGTCGTTTTGAGTCGAATATCATAGGTTGAATGTTGAAGGTTTTTCTTTGAAAATAATTGTCATATAACTTAAAAATTAAGATGGAAAAATTAACAAAGAACAATACAAGTAAATTAATCTAGTCAAACAAAGAATATATAGTATAGTTAAGCTACTTTTAAGAAAATATTTATATTGGAGGCATTCTTTCATGAAATATTATTTTTCTTTTGTATTTTTATTTAGAATGTATTTGAATTAAGCGTTAAAAATTCGAACTAAATCGAACTTATTTGCTTTGTGAATGAAACACCTATTCAAATTAACCAAAAATTAACCGAACTGACCCATTATACCTAATCTGTCTTTGTAGCTACTGACATGTATACTGCATGCATAACATGGTGGCACCTGCAACCTTCGAATCCTGAATCCGCCTCTGGCCGTAACATGTAGCTAAACACCGCCACAATTACATTGTTTACTTATGGCGTTGTTTAATATAGCAGTTCATAACCGCCATAATTGCAAATCTAAAACTGAATTACTACTAAATAATATTTTGACCATTTATTCCAACCATTAGTAATATAACAATTTTTCCATTCCACATTTACATCCCTACGACACTCCACCCTCAAATTTCCATTACATATCATATTGAATTTTAACACAAAATATAATAAAGGATTAAACAAGCAAATTATTTATTAAGCAATTAAATATAGTTACTCCAAAATTACATTATCCAATGTATTTCTATTTCAAAGAGTAATTCAATACAACAATTAATATCCAAGAGATTCATAGCTAATCCTAAACATGATTACTAATTTTTATCTGTAAAATATTTTTGACCCAATTGATGATGGAGTGTCACTTCCTAAATTCGATGCCTGCAAAACAATACAAAAAAAGAAAAGAAAAAGAGACAGTATTACAGAAAAAACCACAATAACTAAAAAATTGACATCAACAAGAATAGGAACATAAAAGTCAAATAGCTTCACTGGCAGTAATTTATTTATTCAACTGTATTCCAGAAAACTAACTTCAGAAAGTCAATAACGACCATATAGTTCACTCCATGATCTACCTAAAACAGAATGACAGTTTCTGAAAGAGAGAGAGGCACCTTTCCTGTTGTGACTATAATATACTGTTGTGACTATAATATACTGATTGATCTCTCCCCTCACCCATGACCGTACCATGCAAGAAAGAGAGGAAGAGGAACATAATGATTCAGCTCCTTTATCAAGTATATATCATGAAACTTCTAAAAGTATACCTGATCAGTTACCTCATACACTATCAGATCCTTCAACACTAGTTCTCCTTAACAGACATACAAAGAACTTGTAGCGTCAAGAGTGTATATATTCCAAGCCCCAGCAAAAAAGCAAACAAGAAAAGATGAGTACTATACATGTGGTCTGTGGAGGAGTAGGAAATAAGCCAGCTAACTACTCGGGATATCTCCTAAGACCAAGTCGTATAGAAGTTTGCTCGAACACTACAGTCAAAACTGCACCTAAGTCTAACCTTAAACGCGACCGACGTATTTTGTATCCTTTAATTTTCTCCTGAACGAAAGATAAAAGAATATTTAAATCTTATACAAATAGTCTATTATTATATGATTATAAATATCACAACTAAAAAATACAAGCAATCAACCTACTATTTAGCACAATCTCTCTAGCCTCTTCATTCACATAACTCCCATCTAGCCGCTTATGAGTTCCAATCCGATATTCGCCTTGATCAATATCTTTCTCCGGTGTCTAACTTCTGAAATATTCAAGATGTAAAACATTAGTACCTAATTAAGGATGTATTTTATCTTTAGAATTGATCACTAAGCACATCGTATTACACTACCATATTAGCCCTTCTAACCAAACTCACAACACCACAAGATGACAAATAACTTGTTTTCATCGAACCTATTGAGTCCTCTTGCAAAGCTCCTACAAGTTCAAATAACTTTCCTATGCCTTTCTATCACGACCCGAAATTCTCACCTTCGGACCGTAATGGTGCCTAACATTTCACTTGCTAGGCAAGCCAACGTTAGAATAATATTATTTATTTTTAAAATAATTTTTAATTTTATTAATAACAGAGAACAATTGCGGAAGTAACGTTTGAAATATAGCGAATAATCCATGAACATAACAGTGTCTAAATACTATCCCAGAATTAGTTTCACAAGTGCACGAGCTTCTAGAATAAATATAAATAAAGGCTTGAATAAAATAAAGATGTCTGGAAATAAATACACAGCTAGATTAAAATAGACGGGGACTTCAGAACTGCGGACGCCATGCAGTTATACCTCAAGTCTCCTCTGGTAGCTGAAATTCGACCAAGTCTATGGTGCACCGCTGGGACCAACTCCGAAATCTGCACAAGAAGTGCAGAGTGTAGTATCAGTACAACCGACCCCATGTACTGGTAAGTGCTGAGCCTAACCTCGACGAAGTAGTGACGAGGCTAAGGCGGGTCACTTACATTAACCTGTACGCAATATTAGTAACAACAACAATAATAATAGAAGTAATTCAGATAACTCATTTTTAATAATTGAAGCCAACTCAACAGTCATAACCAATTATCATTTCCATCAATTCTGTTGCAGCGTGCAACCCGCTCTCAC